TGGTGGGTGAGGTCAGCGTGGGGCAGGATGGCGCTGGTGTTGAGCAACGGGCCTGGTGGCACCTCCTGGCCATCCCGCAGCCAGACCACACTGATGGGCCGTGGGTAAAAGCCGGTGACATGGCAAACCAGCAGGATCTGGGCTGGGCTGGGCATGTGGGCAAAGACTGTGGCCATGGGTGGCTCTGGGAGGTGAGATCAAAAGGGTGGGGAGAGCCCTAGTGGGTCACTGATTGGCCCCAGTATGTGGGAGGCTTTGGGGTGGCCATGCCAGGGTTGGGCTGTTCTCACCTTGTCTCTCCAGATCTGTCCTCCCATACCTGTAGAGGGCTAGGATGTGGCTCCGGCAGGAGATGGACAGGAGGTGCTTCAGGAGCCCTGTGATGGCCTTCATGCTGGTGAGGGACTTGCTGACCACCTCTGCTAGCTGAGATGGCTGCTGCGGCTCCCAGCGGTCCCTCTCCACCTTGAAAGCTGTAAGGTCTCTGCCATCCTTTCCAACATCCAAGAAGCCCCAGCTTGTCCTATTGGGATGCAGCACACAGCCCGCACGGATCTGGACCACCAGTGGGTCTACCATGAGCCGGTAGAGAGGTCTCATGAGTGTGTGGGACATGGGTAGCACCAGGTGGCATGTAGCAGGAGGCACCTGTGCAGGGGTGCAATGGGGTGCAGGGGGCATCAGGGCATGAGGCTGTGCTTCAGGATGCCCAAGGACAACCAGGAAGCCCTCAGTCCTATTTGAAGACTGGATTGGATGTGTGCTGAGTTAGCACGGAGTGGTTGCTCAGAAGGTTGTCCAAATTTTTCTTTCCCTGATCTGTGCTGTGTGGGTCCTGCAGCCCTGGTAAATTTTGTGACAGCTCCCCAGTGTGCAGAGGGGTTCCCTCATGCCATATCACAGACTGACAGAATCACTAAGGTTGGGAAAGATCTATAAGATCATCTAGTCCAACCACCACTCCTAACTACCATACCCACTAGACCATGTCCTCAAGAGCCACGTCTACACGTTCCTTGAACACCTTCAGGGCTGGTGACTCCACCACTTCCCTAGGCAGCCTGTTCCCATGCCTGACCACTCTTTCAGTGAAGAAGCTCTTCCTAATATCTAATCTAAACCTCCCCTGACGCAACTTGAAGAGTTTCCTCTTGTCCTATCACCAGTCACCCAGGAGAACAGACCAGCACTCACCCCACTACAACCTCCTTTCAGGGAGCTGTAGAAAGCAATTAGGTCTCCCCTCAGCCTCCTCTTCAGGCTAAACACCCCCAGCTCACTCAGCTGCTCCTCAAAAGACTTGTTCTCTAGACCCTTCCCCAACTTTGTCACCCTTCTCTGGACACGCTCCAGCACATCAATGTTCTTCTGATAGTGAGGGACCCAAAACTGAACATAGTACTTGAGGTACGTACGGCCTCACCAGTGTTGAGTACAGGGGCACAATCACCTCCCTACTCCTGCTGACCACACTGTTCCTGATACAGGCCAGGATGCTGTTGGACTTCTTGGCCACCTGGGCACACTGCTGGCTCATATTCAGCCAGCTGCTAACCAACACCCCCAAGTCCTTTTCTGCCGGGCAGCTTTCCAGCCATTCATCCCCAAGCTTGTAGTGCTGCCTGGTGTTTTTGTGACCTAAATGCAGGACCTGACACTTGGCTCTGTTAAACTCTATCCAGTTGACCTCAGCCCATCAATCCAGCGTGTCCAAGTCCCTCTGCAGGGCTCTCCTACCCTCCAGCAGATCAACACTTCCACCCAACTTAGTGTTGTCTGCAAACTTACTCAATCCCCTCATACAGATCATTGATAAATATGTTAAACAGAATCAGCCCCAAAATTAAGCCCTGGGGGACACCACTCAAGGCCAGCCACCAACCAGACTTAACTCTGTTTACCACAACCCTCTGTGCTCTGCCCTCCAGACAGTTTTTAACACAGCCAAGAGTCCATCTGTTTAAGCCACAAGCCGCCAGCTTAAAGAAGCTGTGGCTTTAAGCAAAGGAGATGCTGTGGGAGATGGTGTCAAAGGTTTTGCTACAGCCCGGGTAGACAACACAGGTAACCAGGCAGTCCAGGTAGCCTTCCCCTCATCCACTGGGGGCGTCACACATTCATAGAAAAAGATCAGGTTGGTAAAGTAGGACCTGCCCTTCGTGAACCCATGCTGGCTGTGCCTGATCCCCTGGTTGTCTTGTACCTGCTGTGTGAGGTCACTCAGGATGAACCACTCCATAATCTTCCCCATATGTCAGGAACCCTCTCCTCCCCTGCTAGCCAGGTGTCCTGACAGTTGCATCTTTTCCCATTATTCAGGAATTGTTGTACCCTATGAGACCCCACAAATGCCCCCCCAGTGGGGAGGACGGCACAGCCAGAACTCAGGGAAAGGGGCTGGGGCTCTGGCTGGGGTTGTCCCCGTAC